TGACTGAACCGCTCTCAGGGAGCTCAGGAGCTTCCCAGCGTCAAAACAATACCGTTGTCAAACCTGTCTTTAAACCGCATCAAGTTTAGGAGAAAAATCCATGGACAACACCAGTACCCAAATTTACTTTGACTAAATCTTAGCTTATCAAACCCTGGGAGTAAAACGTCACAAAAGTACACAACAGCTGACCGCTGTAACCTATACTGATTATCACGCCGTCTCATCCTAGAAGGACAAGATATATCAGTGTCACAAAAAATGCAGTGAAGCTGTGGCAAGGAGGAGTTCTATGGTAGTACAGATAAGGAACAGCGGTCCTTGTTTTCATGCCAAGTACCCGGGATACCGTCGCGGAGACAAGACTAAAGATAGCCACACTCGATGTAACTGAGGTACTTCCCAAAATTTGTTTCGTTTATCTAAGCCGGGAAGGTTGCTTGCAACTGTATGAACGACAAGCAATACTAATAAAAATTCTCAAAGCAGTTCAAGCTAAACGAATCGTAGTCAAAACCAGCAATAACCGATCCGGTAGAAAATGCCTTCGATATCATACCTAAGTGTAAAACGCAAATAGGCGAAAACCATCACTACCGAGTTCCGTAGACGGTCCTTCAGGGAGGAGAACTCACCTAACGGTCCAACAACGTCAATGATGCACATTAAACTCCCTCTTTCTTGATGTCTACTGTAACTATTACCCAGAACGTTGAAGGTCAAAACTAAAGCAGAGCTTAGTGGGGATGCGTCCAGATACTGGCCGATCGGGTGCCAGAAAACTTAATGGGCTGCCTACCCGGTTCAACAAGGGTGCGTAATCGAATATTTCGTGACCAACCCGATCGACGATTAACTCCAGCCGCAAAATCGGCGTAGAAATGTGTACACTCTGAGTCATTCGCTCGGGAGATCGCAAAACAAAGTTTTCCGTCCATCCAGATTCCAGCAACCTTCAACTCGACTGGATTAGCGAAGGACAAGGGTTTTCGGTCTCTAATTTTAAGTCATTATCATCATTATTAGCTGTAAGAAAGGTGCAACTGTCGTACAGTGGTTATGGCTGTCACAGCTTCGTTCACTGATGATTCAGAGAGGTAGGGTAGGTAGCTGCGCATTGGAGGCGGGAGTTGATAACACAGGATTCTCAGTGAACTGTTAGAAGGGGGGTGAGAGGTATGCATTGAAGGCAATAGCTTGGATGCATGAGCGTCATTGACGGCGCGACTGGACAATGTCTGAAAATGTCCCTAACCATTGATGTGACCCGTCTCATGGTCTTCAGGAAGACGGCAGCGCCGCGAAATTTGCTGGTAATGGCTTTTATACTTCACTGCCAAGTCAGTTTTGTCTCCCCTGGCTCGTTTCTACCATTCACGTGGTTGCTCGAAAAGAACCCTACAGGGGAGCCGGTCGACTGTCATACAAAGCACGTAGACAAGCCAGGGCAACCTATGTAGTTTGATCAGTTCGTCTATCGAGGGCGAGTTATTTCTCCCGAATACCATTCAGCATTGCTGATCCGGTGTTCCCACCAGATTCGGGCAATGCTCCGAAGACATCGATGGTCAAACACTGAAAGTCTTTTGACGTACTCGGCGCGCAGCGGCCAGATTTCTGATCCATTTAGTAATATGGAGCGCACCGCAGCATTGTAAACTCTACCCTTAACGGATAAGCTGATGTCACGCCTACGCCACAGATGACGTAGGTTCACAAAAGCTTTTCCTACCTTCCCAATCCGGATGGAAAAACCATATTTCGGAACTGATAACTCAATTTCATCTGCAATCATGAGGCTGGGGCTGGAGCCTACCCAGTCTTGCAGTAGCACTTTACAATTTGCAGGTGTGAAGCGCATGCCGAACCGCGAGGCAGAACTATTTAGATTATTTAATATTGTTTGCATTACCACGGGGTCAGATCCAAGAAGAGCTATGTCGTCTGCGTACTCGATGTCTGTGGGCGGAGGCCCAGGGAGCGCTTCGACCCCACAGGCATTAGAGGCTGGTAGTGAGTCTTCCATGATCGTATCAATGACGAAGTTAAAGAGGAAAGGTGAAAGAGGACATCCCTGTCGGACGCCACTTGATGTGGTGAACTCAGAAGACAGCTCCCCATATACCTTCACACGGCCACGGGAATTTGAGTACGGCGCCTTAAGGAGTTTTGAGAATTTATGGGGGACACCTTTGCTCCACACATACTACCATAGTGCCTGACGGTCCAGGGTCAAAAGCAGCTTTCAGATCGGGAAACATGACGATTGCTGGCTGCTGGAAGCAGTGTCACTGTTCGAGGATTTGTCGCAGGGTGAAGATACGATCGATGCATCCTCTTGCAAGACGGAACCCAGCATGGTTTTCACGGATCTGTCTCTCCCTATGTTCAGTCAACCTTCGATGCCACACCTAACAGGCTGATGCCACGGCGGTTTTTACACAGCATTTGCCCTTTCTTTTCGAAGATACGGATAACTGTCGATATGCCTCATCCTGAAGGCACTTCCTGTTCGTTCCATATGGCACCACTAAGCTCTGTCAGATGGGTCACCAGAGGTTCTCGGCCTTCTTTAAAGAGGGTTGGATACAGACCGTCCGTTACTTGTGCCCTGTCACGGTTCAGTACGGATATTTCGTTGTTTATTTACCTTTAAAGAGGGCTGGATACAGACCGTCCGTTACTGGTGCCCTGTCACGTTTCAGTACGGATATTTCGTTGTTTATTTATTCTTCCGACAGGCGATCAAGGTTTATATTCCATTTGTCCATATGCACTATCTCCCATGGCTGTGCTGCGGGAGATCAGCCAAACTGTTCCCCGAAGTGTTCGGTCCATCTTTCCAGTTGACGTTTTGAGTAACAGCTCCTGTTCTAGCTCATCAGTTAATAACTAGTTACCTTGCCCCGAGTGACAAGCCCGAACAGGTTCAACCAGCCTCCACCTTCGACAGAAACACCGGTCCTCCCAGTGCAGGTGGCACCATACCTCGTTTAATGCAAAGCAAAGTTTTAGAATTGGCCACACCAGAACCCGTCCATTCCTGCGCACAGACGTTGCTCCCTCTCCTCGGGAATATACACAGCTACACCAAGTGTCAAGCACACATCCCCTTCCGACCTGAAGTACTGGAAACGCTCACTGAAAAACGCAAATGAAATCCTCAGGTGACGTGTGAGCATTATTCCGTCACTCTCCTCCGGTCTCCTGCTTCACAGCAACTGTCAGAACTGAACTGATATTTCTCGACAATCCGAAGACTTAACGTACCGGTTTGCTCAACAAACTAGGCCCGTGTTACATGTGCCGCTGGTGAACAATGCCAAAACAACCTTTTCCTACTGTTCCTGAGCGACAGACTTTCGTTTATAGCCTGGCTACACTTCACTGCGGTTGCTCCACTCGCCGGAAATTTGTTACAACCAAGTATAGCCTATGGATATATAGAACACCGAGCTTATAAGTATTCCTCCTCGAATAAAAACAGTGATAATTAGTCACTCTACATCCACAAGACTCCATTCCCTCTTTTGAAACCTGACTCCCACAGAACCAACAGAACCCTATTTCACCGTCTCTACTCTATCCCTTGCCCCCCAAGAACCAGTAATGGACTTCTCACGTCAGAGTAGCAGCTAACCTGGCTTCCATAAAACCCGGAATTTCGTCAAGCTTTTGTAACTTCTCTCGGTTTTAACCCACTGTTACGCCCGAGATGGAGAACCTACTTCTTATCCTCCGCTTCAAGCGCGGCAAAAGGCTTTACGCTAATTGTTTGATTTACTTTGATACACGGCACTTAGTCTCCTTTCAATCACTGGGTGGCTGATCTTCATTGCACCAGCCTACTCCTATTATGGTGACCCGGGAGTGCACAACCTACCTCTTGGTTCATGGTATTGTCTAGTCAGTGGGTCGAACCGCGGCAAAACCGGAAAAAATGCGAAGTGAAAAATCATATTTCAATTACTGAAATTTAGATGGCTACAAGCAGCTTCTGCCACTACATGAAAGTATTGTCCCTAATCCGTAAGAAGCTGCGTTATGCGATGTTTCACGTGGTCGTCTAGCAGCGGCCTTAAATTTGCTTATAGCATTTGACTTGTTCAAATACACCTTGGTATCCATCCCGTTCTGGATATCCGCAATTTGCCGTTATCACATGCCATTTCCCTGAAACAATGTGGATTATGAGCAAGCTTGAAGACTCCTATCTCCAAGTCAGTTCGCTATCGATTCAGGACCCAACTGACCGTTAATTCGGAAGCATAATCTTCAACATTTCCTTCCCTTGTTGATATTCTTCGTCAGTGTCAGTTAGTCTGTGGAAGAACTTTACACACTGAACTCAGCCACCTTACCCGAGTCAATACTTTAAAAACTGCCTTAAATCGCAACCACCACAGAGGCGGCCTCGTCTGTGTCTCTAAGCAGGCTTCCTAGAGTATGCTTAAGATCTCATACTGTGTAGTCGTACAATGGTCGCAGTTTTACACTTGTGGTCGGGAGAGAAAGAGGAAATGGACGTCGGCAACTATCGAAATCACCCCTCGGACAGTACTTTCCGTGTTGCTCTAGTGCCCGAACCGGAAAATCGTTAATCAAACGTCGCTTGGTTCCCTCCAGCTCAGTCATCAGTGTTATATATATATATGATTTGAACATGTCTGAAAGGTTTTCGCACTAGATAAAGATAGAATTTATGATTTATTCATCTAACTGCTTAGATCGGATTATTTCCTTCAACTAGAACAATTCTGACCGACCGTTACAAGCAGTAAATTCAGAGAAGCTCAGATCTACAAACGCTCACGCTTTTCTCGTAGCGTCGTTTCAGAAACACAAGTGCTCCCTCGATGAACGCTGACAAACGCTTCCTTACATGGACGGTTCTTGTCTGGAAGTTTAGATTTTCATTCAACTGTTTCTTGGAAACTTGTCCGTTTCCAGCTGTCCCATACATCTCAACAACTAACTCCGTACATGTCCACAACCTTCCGACCGGTGTGGTCTATCTCTCCAAGAATAATAGATTTGATTTGCCAGGTGATAGTTGAATACTTCCGTGAGTCAGTCATCATTTGCCAAGATAGAACTGCGCTCAACCATGAAATGTCAGTGAAGTGTCAGGCGTACTTGAGAAACACCTACATCAAATTTGATGTGGACAGCCTGAGATCCAACTTCAGCCCCAACTGAGCTGACTGTACTCAAATTTGGCTTCCTCTCAGTGGGATACGATCATGGTAAAATGAGTAGCTCAGACTGTTTTTCTTTTTGGAAATGGCTTCAAAACAGGCAGATAAGTTAGACAAAACAATAGTGGATGAAGAAGAGTGAAATCAGAGTTCAAGATCGCCGACTTACCTGTTTGAAACACTTCGGATCCGCAGGGCGGGCACCCGTTCTTGAAAGGTAATCATCCCATTCGAAAAAACTTGATGAGTCAGATGAGTTGTGCGTACTCATCGGAAGTGGAACTCGGTTCAGAACTAATTAACTTTAGTTGTAAATTCCAACTGACAATCAACTTCCAATAGATATTGTATCAAAGCTGCTGAAACATAGGATGACATTACATTAACTTGGCGAATCGGTTTCAAGGAGCGGCGGCAGTGATGCAAGCCGAGAACAGTGTAAGGAAACATCATGTTGGTTCTGCTGTATATATTGTTGGGTAATCAAATATGCTGAAGAAAACACTGCCAAAGATGGTAGGAGACAACAGCAAACTATGCGCAACTTGCGCAATTTCCGAAACGCATATAAAACGGTGGCAGTAGTTCAAGCAAGTCACTCTCACTACCGTATACGGCTCTTAAAGCACGCAGTGAACTGTTTCAGTTCCGTCGCATTCTTTTCGGTGTTACCAACAGATCAGTATGCTTCCAACGTACTACTGACCATATAAGCAAGTCTGAGAACCTAAGTGGTACCTACGCTTACACCGACGTTACCACTTGTGGGACTACCCAAAGTGAGCATGATCAAAACCTCCAATCTCTCTATGAAGTAATAAAAAAACATGGAGTTGCGCTTATCTGCAACAAAAGCACCACAACAGTCAAACAGATATGCCTTTTCGGTTAAGAAGCCTCCGAAGGGACTACCAAACCACATCCTGGACGAATGAGCCCTATTCGTCAACTCCCTCATCCATATGATGCTAAATCCCAACAACGATTTCTTGGTATATTTGCTTGTTATTCGTAATGGATACCATGCTTCTCTGACAAATCAGTGCTTGTCAGAAATAAGACTTTCCCCTTACCGGAGTTAGAGAACGCTATCAAATTTGATGTGGACAGCCTGAGATCCAACTTCAGCCCCAACTGAGCTGACTGTACTCAAATTTGGCTTCCTCTCAGTGGGATACGATCATGGTAAAATGAGTAGCTCAGACTGTTTTTCTTTTTGGAAATGGCTTCAAAACAGGCAGATAAGTTAGACAAAACAATAGTGGATGAAGAAGAGTGAAATCAGAGTTCAAGATCGCCGACTTACCTGTTTGAAACACTTCGGATCCGCAGGGCGGGCACCCGTTCTTGAAAGGTAATCATCCCATTCGAAAAAACTTGATGAGTCAGATGAGTTGTGCGTACTCATCGGAAGTGGAACTCGGTTCAGAACTAATTAACTTTAGTTGTAAATTCCAACTGACAATCAACTTCCAATAGATATTGTATCAAAGCTGCTGAAACATAGGATGACATTACATTAACTTGGCGAATCGGTTTCAAGGAGCGGCGGCAGTGATGCAAGCCGAGAACAGTGTAAGGAAACATCATGTTGGTTCTGCTGTATATATTGTTGGGTAATCAAATATGCTGAAGAAAACACTGCCAAAGATGGTAGGAGACAACAGCAAACTATGCGCAACTTGCGCAATTTCCGAAACGCATATAAAACGGTGGCAGTAGTTCAAGCAAGTCACTCTACCGTATACGGCTCTTAAAGCACGCGGTGAACTGTTTCAGTTCCGTCGCACTCTTTTCGGTGTTACCAACAGATCAGTATGCTTCCAACGTACTACTGACCATATAAGCAAGTCTGAGAACCTAAGTGGCACCTACGCTTACACCGACGTCACCACTTGTGGGACTACCCAAAGTGAGCATGATCAAAACCTCCAATCTCTCTATGAAGCAATAAAAAAACATGGAGTTGCGCTTATCTGCAACAAAAGCACCACAACAGTCAAACAGATATGCCTTTTCGGTTAAGAAGCCTCCGAAGGGACTACCAAACCACATCCTGGACGAATGAGCCCTATTCGTCAACTCCCTCATCCATATGATGCTAAATCCCAACAACGATTTCTTGGTATATTTGCTTGTTATTCGTAATGGATACCATGCTTCTCTGACAAATCAGTGCTTGTCAGAAATAAGACTTTCCCCTTACCGGAGTTAGAGAACGCTACGGTTGACAGTTGACTACAACGCACCTTTGGTTGCTGAGACGGACGTCCCAGACATAGACATTGCTGCATCTCTGACTCAGAGCGGCCAACCAGTTGCCTTCTTTTCTAGAACACTGAAACTGAGCGAAAAGAATCACTCTGCTATTGAGAAGGAGGCGTCCGCCATCGTTGAATCTATCCGTAAATGGAAGCATTATCTCTTCGGGAAGCACTTCAAGCTTATCACTGACCAGCGGTCAGTTTCCTCTATGTATGGTGTGTCGCAGAAAAGTAAGATCAAAAACGACGATAAAATCCAGCAACCGAAAATGGAACTCTCCGCTTTTAGCTACGATGTCAGTCACAGACCTGGAAAAGACAATCTGGTGGCCGACACCTTATCATGTAACCTATGCGCCAATGTGCCATTCCGGAATTACTCGTACGCATCAGTTTGTCCCTTCCAAAGCATGCCGTTTTCCCTCCAATACGTCAAAGAAATCAGCACAAAATGTGCGGTTTGTGCCCCATCAAAGCACCTCTTGCCACGCTCATCAAAGCGACCCAACCATTCGAACGAATTGGCGTCAACTTTAAAGGACCTATGGCTTCTGTCACTCGAAACTGATATCTCCTCACTATCTTTGAAGAGATTTCCCGCTTTCTATTTACCTTTCCCTGCGCAGATACATGTGCGTCTGTCATTATTACATGTTTATGTGAATTATTCTAGTTGATTGATATGCCTGCATATTTGCATTCGGATCGTGGCTCCTCATTCATATCTGACGAACTGTCCACATTCCTACATAAGAGTTTGCACCAGCCAA